ACCCAGTCTATCTGGCCGCGTTCAATGTTCGCACTATGAAGCAAGCAGGACAACAAGCTGCTCTTGCACTCACACTGGACTCGCTTGGCATTGATGTGTGCTGTGTCTCAGAAACGAGAATTCAAGATGCAAGCACAGTGGTTGAGTTAACCGCCCCGTCAGTCTCCACTCGCTTCCGTCTACGCACCTCTGGTGATCCAGAGGCTACTGCGGTGGGATGTGCAGGGACTGGTATTGTGTTAAGTCACCGGGCGGAAGTATCCTTACTTGACTGGATACCTGTTGATAGTCGCCTCTGTGCGGTTCGCCTGGCAACGTCTGTGAAGGAGTCTCACAAGCGGCAAGTTGATAGATGTCTGTTTATCGTGTCTGCCTATGCCCCAACTGATTGTAGCTCTGACACCGTCAAAGACAGGTTTTACGACGCCCTGAATACCCTGCTGCGGCAAGCTAAAAACTCAGACATTGTGGTGGTTGCCGGAGATATGAATGCGCAAGTGGGCAGGCTCAGTGCATCTGAGACTCAATTGGGAGGTCGACATGGACTGGACTCGGTACGTACGGACAATGGGGAACGATTGCTTCAGCTGTGTGCTGATCGCAGGCTGTTTTTATGCAGTACTAACTTCCGAAATAGCCGAAGTCGTCTGGCCACTTGGTGTCTTCCTACAACAGGCCGGCCACAAACTCAAATCGACCACGTTGCCATCAGTTACCGATGGCGTGGACCAATAACTGACTGCCGGTCGTTTTGGAACACATTTGGATTCCGATCACGCGCTCGTCCAGGATCGCTTTTCCCTACGTTTCCCGGGGCCGCATAAGGTGCGGATGAATCGCCTGGAAACTGAAAGACGACCCAACGAGACGCATCCAAGCACTGGATATCAGACCGAACTGCGACACTACTTAAATCTCGGAGGAATATCCCAGCCGGTCCCGAACACAACCCGAAGAGTTACCAGACGTCAAATGAAAGTGAGCGTGCGATCCGACCGTGAAGTATGGTGGACACAGAGAGCCAAAGAAATGGAAGGGGCCCAGAAAGCCGGTAGTGCCCGAAGATTATTTCAGTTGATCTGTGTGGCCGTCCCCGAAGACCACCTGTAAGTGAAACCCCCAAGCATCAAAATCGAACCACCATCTCGAACAAAGAGGAATGCCTCGATCGGTGGGCTGAATACTTCGCACAACAACTGTTGTGGCCACCAGCCATCACTCATCTAGAGGCCACAGGTGAAGTAGAACGCTGCGCGGTGAACGTGGAACCGCCTACGGCGTCGGAGATTTACGATTGCACACGTTCTCTCAAGCGCCACCGAGCTCCCGGTCCGGACGACCTTCCACCCGCACTGTTCAAAGACGAGGGTGAAGTCCTCAGTCAGCCCTTGTCCGATCTGTTTGCTTGCATTTGGGAAAAGGAGTCTATCCCAAACAAGTGGGGAGAACCGGTGATAGTGCCCGTTTTCAAAAAAGAGGCGCGTAGTGAGTGTGGTAACCACAGGGGGGTCGGCTTGACCCTGGTTGTAACGAGGCTGTTGGCGTCAATTGCGCTTCGTCGCCTTACGGTGGCTCGCGGGATACTGACTCGAGAGCAGCAAGCGGGATTTCGACCTGGTAGGGGTTGTGTTGACCAAATCTTCACATTGCGTCAGGTGCTAGAACAACGCCATACGTATAAGCGACCCACGATTCTAGTATTCCTGGATTTCCGAGGCGCATTCGACTCGGTTGATCGGTCTGTTCTTCTTGAGACGCTTGCCCACCAAGGAATGCCCCGGAAGTTTGTAAACATAATACGTTCTTTGTATTCTCAGACTTCCGGACGTGTGAGAGTGTACGGAGAGCTCTCCAAAAGCTTCCGCACACAAAGCGGTGTCCGTCAGGGATGCCCACTCTCTCCATTCCTTTTTAACTTTGTGATCGATGAAATAATGAGACGAACGCTGGAGGGTCTCCAAAACCCTGGTGTTCAAATAGCCAGTGAAGAAAACCTTGTCGATCTGGAATATGCAGACGACATCGTTCTCATGTTCGAAGAGGAGGAGAAGGCGCAAGTATTCTTGGATGAACTGACCAAAGTCATCCCGTCCTTTGGTATGCATTTTGCACCCACAAAGTGTAAGGTCATGCTTGTGGACGTGCAGTCACTGAACACGCCCCTTACAATCCAGGGAGAGGTACTGGAAGTTGTGGAGCGTTTTACGTACCTTGGAAGTTGTATTAGTTCTGATTGCAGTGTGACAGATGAGGTGAATGCACGAATCTGCAAGGCTCGGGCCGCGTTTGCTAACTTGAGACACCTATGGCGTCAGAATGGTTTATCCCTGAATCTGAAGGGACGTGTGTATCAAGCTACAGTACGGGCTGTTTTGTTGTATGGCTGTGAGACCTGGCCTATTCAAGCAGCAAAACTGAGACGTCTTCAGGTGTTCGACAATCGTTG